AAATGTACCAAAGTTTCTTTAACCAGTCATCTGTTCTCGGGCACTCAGGTTTTTTCCAGATTCTGGCTATTGTAAAGAGTGCTGCAATAAACAGGCAATTGCAGATGTCACTTCGACTATACTTTTTTGCCTCTCTGGGATTTATTCCCAGGAGTGGTATTGCTGGATCAAATGGGAGCTCAATTTCTAATTTTTTGAGAATCATCCATACTGTTTTCCAAAAGGGCTGAACCAGTTGGCATTCCCTCCAACAGTGAAGGAGTGTCCCTTTCTCACCACATCCTTGCCAGCACTGGTTGCTTTTGTTCTTGTGGATATGGGCCAGTCTCTGTGGTGTGAAGTGATACCTCATTGTGGTTTTGATCTGCATCTCCCTGATGATTAATGATGTGGAACATTTTCTCATGTGCCTTTTAGCCATTCGGATTTCTTCTTTGTGAAAGTTTCTATTCATTCCATCTCCCCATTTTTCGATGGGGTTGAATGTTTTCTTTTGTGGAGTTGAACCAGTACTTTGTATATCCTTGAAATTAACCCCTTATCAGATGTATAGTTGGCGAATATCCTTTCCCGTTCTGTAGACTGTCTTTGTACTTTGGTCACTGTTTCTTTTGAGGTGCAGAAGCTTCTTAGTTTAAGATAGTCCCATTTGTCTATCTCTGTTTTCACTTGCTTGACCAGTGGTGTGACATCTTTGAAGACACCACTAGCTTCTATGTCATGAAGGGTTTTGCCAACTTTTTCCTCAATGTACCTTATAGATTCCGGTCTGATGTTGAGGTCTTTTATCCACTTAGATCTTACTTTTGTACATGGAGTTAGGCAGAGATCTGAGCCCATTTTTTTTGCATGTAGCCATCCAGTTTTGCCAGCATAATTTGTTAAAGAGGCTTTCCCTGCTCCACTTCACTTTTCTTGCCCCCTTATCGAAGATTAGATGCTTGTATGCTTGGGGGGAGATGTCAGTATATTCAACCCTGTTCCATTGGTCTACAGCTCTGCCGTTGTTCCAGTACCATGCTGTTTTAATTATTACTGCCTTGTAGTAGAGTTTGAAGTTAGGGAGGTTGATTCCTCCCATTTTCTTTTTCCCAAGAATTGCTTTAGCTATTCGTGGGGGCTTATTGTTCCATATAAATTTCAGGAGTGTTTGCTCCATTTCTTTGAAGAATGTCATGGGTATCCTAATAGGGACTGCGTTGAATTTATACAGTGCTTTGGGAAGTATTGCCATTTTGACAATGTTAATTCTCCCGATCCATGTACAGGGGATATTTTTCCATTTCCTCCATTTCCTCTTTTATTTCCTGAAGTAGCATTTTGTAGTTTTCTTTGTACAGAAAGAAAACTTCCTTAGTTAAGGTGATTCCTAGGTACTTGATTTTCTGGGGCACAATTGTGAATGGGACTGTTTTCTTCATGTCACTTTCTTCTCTTTCACTATTTGCATATAGGAAAGCCATGGACTTTTGGGTATTGATTTTATAGCCGGTCAGTTTGCTTTAAACTGTTTTTCCAATTCATTCCCTGTCATTTAAGTCTTGAAAGAATGACATAGTATGAATTCATTTTAGAGTTTTGAAGCTATGCTGAAATGATTCTAATCTATTACTTAAAATCCAGTTTCCTGAGGAAACATTAAGAAAACAAGCCATACAACAAACCAAATAACTATATACCAAATTGACATGTCCTTCTCTGGTACAAAGATTCAGAAATAGGAGGTGGGTAAATTATGGGAGGCAATAACAACAGAGCATCAAAAAATACCTAGACCTTGTATCTCTCCATTAAGTGTCTCTAATCAAATGTTTCATCACAGATTTGGGTTAAGATGGAAAAGTTCCTCATTAAGACATTCTATTAGTTTTCTTTTATTCCTTCTTTCAAACATATTTATTAGTTTCTTTTGTCTTCTGGTTTTGGGCCATACCAGTACTGCTCAGGGATTACTCCGGGCTCTGCACTCATGAATCACTCTTGGCGGTGCTCAGGTGACCATGTGGAATGCCAAGGATCGAACCTGGGTCAGCCCATGCAAGGCAAACACCTTATTCACTGTGCTCTTTCTCCAGCCCCTCAAAAATATTTTAAATATTTTAAGCTAAAAGAGGGTTTTAATTATTCAGCTTTTTAATGTTAATTTTGTGGCTTTATATAGTTTACATTAGGTTAAATGACCCAGTTTTCAGGTTAAATCTTATTCTAGGTTAGCAGGAGAACTTTGAAGCTGAGAACATTGATTTATCTTAAAAAGGATTTTCCTTTTTCTTTGATTTCAAGAAACAGGAGCAAAGAATCTACACATCTCTTTGAATGTGTATATGGTTTAAAGCTCAAATCTCCAACTGATAATAAAATGTGTCTATAAAGAAATGCACATTATTATGCATTTGGAGGGAAATATACAATATCAGAAAACAAAATCTAAAATACATTTATTTATCACTTTTTTATTCAATCAAGTCCATTAGTCAACCAGTTATAGCTAATAGTTTCTGAAAGCTCATATAATGATGCCCTGGGGGGTATTAGATGAATCTAACAGTATGTTTGAAGAGAATACAACCTAGTAGAGGAAGAGGAAAGACAAATTTAAACATCAAGGGAATTTCCCTGAGAATATTAAGCAAAGTAAGCATGTTAAGTGTGCAGTATTTCAAAGAAAATCAAAACCACTGCAGAAGGGTCAAAATGAGTGGAGATATTAATGTGGTTAGAAAGACTGTATGGAAAAGTGAAAATTGAGCTGGACCTGGAAGGATGGTTATGTTTACATGAAGGAAGGTGGGTGGAGACTGTAGCCCCCAGAACAGAAGGCACAAAGGTGGCAGCTGTCTAGTTGGTAAGTGGAGAGAGTCTGACTTTTAAAAAAGTGCATGTTAAAGAGAACTGAACCCAAAACTGCCCCCAACTAATATTGTGATGGTCAGTAGGGAGCTTCCCAAGGAGCTGCCATGCTGTAATGTTTAAAACTGGGGCTAGAGGTACGAGCCGGCGGTGATGGGGCAATTGCAGTCTCATGGGAAGGGGGACAGTACCAGCTCGTCCTTCACGCTCTACCGATGTCACAAGTTGCCCCCCACAAGCGGCTCTCTGGCAAGGCCATGGCTCCAGAGGCAAAAGGACTTAGTTCAGAGCCCAGCAGCTTGCAGAAGAAAAGTGAATGGACCATGCGTTAAACTACGGCACCATGCCTCCCCGGGAGGGAAAGGGTGTTGCTCCCTTCTGCCTTTTTCCCCCCTGGCAGCAAGGTTGCTGCCACCTCAGAGCTTATAGGAAAGCCAGGTACGAGCTGGCAGTGACGGGGCAACTGCAGTCTCATGGGAAGGGGGGCAGTACTGGCACATCCTTCACGCCCTACCGAGGTCATGAGTTACCCCCCATGAGCGGCTCTCTGGCACGGCCATAACACCAGACACACAGAAACCAATCTCATAATTATCTGGCTCTTTGCAGAAATCCAAAATCGTGGCCGTGTAACATTATATGATTCTCATAACCAGCTATAGAAAACAAAATATTTCACAATGCCTTTTCAGCAATTCTGATTGTATGGGGGGAAATTCTAAACAATAATAGTGCATCTTTTGTCGAAATAATGAATGTAATCAATGTAGAGAAGAGTTAAGTAGAAATCATCTGCCTCACAGGCATTTGGAGGGGTGGGAGGGGGGGTATACTGGGGTTCTTGGTGGTGAAAAATGAGTACTGGTGAAAGGAAAGGTGTTTGATCATTGTATGACCAAGACTTAAACCTGAAAGCTTAGTAACTTTTCCCACAGTGATTCAATAAATAAATATAAAAAGAAAAAAATTAATTAAGGTGGAGTTCATGCCCAATTCAATCAGCTAATCAGTGGCAGAATAAATAGCAGTACTCCTACAAAAAAAAAAACTGGGGCTAGAGTGATGGCACAGTGGGTAGGGCATTTGCCTTGCACTCGGTCAGCCTGGGTTTGATCCCCAGCATCCCATATGGTCCCCCAAGCAACACCAGGAGTAATTCCTGAGTGCAGAGTCAGGAGTAATCCCTGTGCATCACCAAGGGTGACCCAAAAAGAAAAAAAAAAAAAAACACATGTTAAGCATAATGGAGCCTGAGACAAAACGCTGTAATTTGGTAGTACTGTTGATCCTGTCTCTACTTGGAATTCTAATTATTTTGTTCATTTTAGATTTTTTTCATTTCTTCTGAGTTTTAAAAATATTACATTAAAATATTATTATTTTTCGGGGCTGGAGCGATAGCACAGCAGGTAGAGCGTTTGCTTTGCATGCGGCTGACACGGCCAACCTGAGTTCGATTCCTCCGCCCCTCTCAGAGAGCCTGGCTAGAGAGTATCTCGCCTGCACAGCAAATCCTGGCAATCTACCCGTGACATATTCGATATGCCAAACACAGTAACAACAAATCTCACAATGTTACTGGGCCCGCTCGAGCAAATCGATGAACAACAGGAGGACAGTGCTATAGTGCTACAGTGATTTTTTGGCACCTGTTAAGGCCCATGTCCCACTGCCTAGCTCTCCTGTGTTCTATCTATGAAGTTCAGTGGTGGGGACATGGCTACTGTCTTTGTTAATCATCTTATAAATAGTCTTTGATCATTAGATGTCATTTAACATAAGCAATGAAGAAAAATACATTAGAATTTTAAGATTACTCTGGAACTTTGAATCCTGAAAAAAAAGGGTGGAGCAGGGAAAACATTTTTCCCTTTGTGCTGCTGAGTCTAACTCTAGGGAAGAACAAATATCTGCAGCAAACGCGGGTAAAGTAGAAAGGACCTTCTGGCCCATTTGGTTGGGCCAAAAAGCACTTGGTGGGTAAAACTAACTCCGCATGTGCGGTGGGGAGTTACAGGACTAGAGGTTGCTGTCCACTTAGAGACAGGCCTGGAGCAACTGTCTTTGTAGCCAAGGAGACTGCCACTTTGAGCGAAGTTCCAACACATGAACCCCCAAAAGTGGGCTTGGTCACAACTGCCATAAAACAAGTCTATCCAAGCATATGCCTTTCATGCCAGAGCCTTGGGTTCAATCACTGGGACCACCAGGTCCCCGTGCACTAGGAGTGAACAGTTACAGGAGGGAACCCCCAGCACCATGGGGTGTGGACCAAAATCCCAAACCCAAACCAAACAACAATCCCCCCCAAAAACGTGAACAAAACCCATCCCCATCCAGACCTGTTTAAAGAGAATCTGCTCACTGGGGCACAGTGATTGCACAGGACTATGGCCCAAGAAGCAGTGGAAGGTTCATGATCTCTATAATTGTCTCAGGGTTCTTTGCATCTAGGAAGTGAGGCAGTAACTGTTTGACATAAAGAATATTCATAACTCACTGAAGATGTAAAATCTGAAAACTGTGAAATCTCTCACACATTAGTAAACCAGTGACTACTACTGGTCACGTCACAGACCCAGGGGAAGGGGAGGGTGCGGGCTGCTTCATTACTGGATGCGAATCTCCCAGTCAGCACCAATACTCAGTGAAAGGTTCTCCAGATGCAGTGCGGATGTTTTGGCACAGTATGTGAAATCCACAGGCTGATCTTTACTCTCTGCATATCAAGGAAATAAACATCAGGATATATTTAACAAATAGTGTAAACCCTATCATTAAACATTATACCATTTAGGATAATCCAAATTAATAGCGTTTTTTTAGCCACAGACTTCTGTAATTTTCTTTTGGCCTTCCTAGCAGTGCTCAGAGGCAGGGGGGCCTCTCTCAGGGATACTCAGTCTGTTAGTGCCCATCCTGAAGGTTAGGTGCTTGGTGCCTGACAATTCAGTGCTCCTCAGCCTGGCGGTACAGCCATTCTGCAAACATCTGGCTCAGACTTCAGAATGTTTTAAACATGAAAATGTTCTCAGTTATTTTTTACGTAAGATCGGTTTAAAAGAAACTATTAGGAACTAAGTGATTGGTCCAAGATTTGCAATAGGTAAGAAAGAAAACATCCTATTCCATGCCCTTTGATTCCTTAAACATGAGTAGTATTCTCCAGATTTTCTATCATAGTTTAAAATATACCCAAAGGGGCCAGAGTGATATTATAGCAGCTAAGGTGTTTGCCTTGTACTTCCTCAAGCCAGGCTCAATCCTTAGTACATATGATCCCTTGAGTACCGCAGGAATGATACCTGAGTACAGAGACAGGCATAAGCCCTGAGCACCACTGCTGTGGCCCCAAAACCAAATATATAAATAAAGTTACAACATTATTTCAAGCTTCAAAATAATTTACCCCAGATGAATATTAATAGCTTACCAGGAACAGAAAGAAGCAGTATGCGTCTTCATTCTAGTATAATTTATATAAATGGGTATATATGCAAATATATACTATATGTATACACATTGTTTTGGGAACCACACTCAGTAGTGTTCCCAGGACTACTCCTCACTCAGTGCTTGGAAGTCACTTCTGGAAGTGCTTGGGGGGCCACAATATGTCAGAGATTGAACCCAGTCCTCCTGTATGAAAGCAGGCATTGAGCCCTCTGGCATGTTACTCTAGCTCTGATTCTAGTATATTCATATGTGCTAAGCAAATAAAATCAGTTTGGGGACTTATCTCTTTGCTGCAGATACTCATATGTCAACAAAAACAAGTGGCTTTCCTTACCAGATGAGTGGGTGGTCACAGAAGATGGCTGCTTTTTGAGACCTAGGATCAAGATCAGTTCCACCACACATTTGCTTGGATAAAGACCCCTTTTGTCAGCACAACTAAGAAAAATTAAAATACAGAACAGATGTTATTAGGAAAAGGCATAGCAGAAGGGTTTGGATTGCTAGGTCAGTCTCTAGTTTCCCTCCCATATCACCCTATGATGTTATAAACCACATAGCTGTCATATTTACAAAGATGAAGAGATGGAAAAAGATAATTCTGTGTGGCATACCTCACTGTGATGCAGTAAAAAATTAAAAAAAAATTTTTCAAAAAGTTGACTCTGTGGAATAGTTAACCAGTAACCAAACCAAGTTCCCAGTAATAAATCACTTGAAGAGAGGTGATCTAATGTCACCAAAGTAAAAACTGTGATTTGGAAACTGTAATCAATTTGTAAAACTCAGATTCTTTTTGAAAAATTTTTAAAAATTTAATTTTTTAAAATTGAATCACTGTGAGATATGGTTACAAAGGTGTTCATGATCGGGTTTCAGTCATAAAATGCTCCAACACCCATCACTCCAACAGTGTACATTTCCCACCACCAATATTCCCATATCCTCCTGCCACCCCTCTACCCTCACCCCAATCTGTGTCTATGGCAGGCACTTCGATTATTAGAAGTCATGACTTGCTGAATGGATAGTAACAGGAATTAGTGAAAACTTGAATTCTTTTAAAAATCACTTATTTATTTGGTTTGGGGACCACACCCGGTGGTGCTCAGGGATTACTCCCTATTGTGGGCTTAGAGCTCACTCTTGGCAGGGTTCAAAGGATCATATATGGTACCAAGAATGAAACCTGGGTTATCTGTGTGTTAGGCAAGCAACCTACCTGCTGTACTATCTTTCTCTCCAACCCCACTCAATTTTTAATGATGGGAGCCACACCCAGTGATGTTCAGGGGTCACTCCTGGCTCTCTACAAAGGAATTACTCCTTGTGGTGTTTGGGGGACCATATGGGATGTTGAGGATCGAACCTGAGTTGGCTGCATGCAAGGCAAGAGCCCTGCCTACTAAACTGTCACGCTCACCCCTCTTTTTAAAATTTTTTTAATAGATGAAGGAAAGGAAGACAATATGAAAACACGATTTAAAAATACTCCAGGTGGACTCTGAGTTGAGTTAATGTAAGAAGTTCCTGAATATTTCCTCTCCCAAGAGTCTGCCAAATGTAAAACTATACACTTACAGAGTAATTCCTAGGAGAGAAATTCAGAAATTAGAACAGGTTTTCCTACACATCAGGTGGCTGAGAAAATATCCACATCAAAATGGGTAAGAAAAGGCTGAGACACACTCTTCATAACCCTCCTTCAAGACACAGTGTCATACAATTAGGATGGAACCTTCAACTCCAAGTTGTTTTATGGGGAGCGAAGAATTTGGATCACACTTATAGTGTTCTAACTTTTGTTATTGTTTTGGAGACATACCCAGGTGTGCTCAGGGCTTATTCCTGTCTGTATGTTCAGGGATCACTCCTAGTGGGACTTGGGAGACAAATCCTGGTTAGCAGCATGCAAAGCAAGCATCCTACCTTCTGTATTATCACATTGTATGTCTCAAGCTCTATTATGAACAATGTAAATCACAGTGCCTTAAATTGAAAAAATACTTAGAAAGGAAAAGTCTTATCAACAAATATCACATCATTGAAAAAGTTAATGTTCATAAGCCCTAAGTATAGTAAAAATAAATATGAAAGGTTAATAATTAACAAAAAATAAAAAATAATACTGTTTGTATAATTAAAAATTGTTAAGAGAGTGCGGAGAGATAGTATGGCAGGTAGGCAATTGTCTTGCATATAAATGACCTGGGTTCAATCCCTAGTACCCCATATGGTCTCATGAGTTCCTCTAGGAGTGATCCCTGAGCACAGAGACAGGAGTAATCCCTGAGAACTGGCAGGACTATCCCAAAAGTAAAAACAAAATTGTCAATAGAGTAGAACTTTAGAACTTGAGTGTTCTCACACACAAAAAAGGTAAATATATGAGGTTAAATTAATTAACTCACCAGTAGAAATAATTTCATAATATAAGCACATATTAAATCACCCCATTGTATGCTTTCTCACTCCCTCCCTCAAACCTTCTCCCTATGTATATACATATATATTATATATATACATATGTTACATATTTCATTCATTCATTTCATCATCCTGTTATTCGTCGAATGCCTCGAGCAGGCCCCAGTAACGTCTCTTTCATCCTTGCCCTGAGATTATATTCAAGGCTATTTAGGAGAATGAGACCCATCATTGTTACTGGTATTTGGCATATTTGGTACGCCACGGGGAGTTTGCCAGACTCTGCCCTGTGGGCAGGCTACATTCAATAGCCTGCAAGTTTGTCCAAAGTAGGAATAAGACAATAAGATGTCATAAAAAAAAAAAGTTCTGTTAAGATATCGGGCGGCCGCGAATGCGGCCGCGCGGTTCCGGGTTCTGGATTTTAAAGTCTCTGAGTCTTGGCCGCTGATGGGATTACACGGCGCCAGGGGGCCAGGTGGTGGGTGTTACCCCCGCCTACTGGAATTTGGAGGATCTGGGTGGAAGATGCTCAACTCCAATTCGAGTAGGCTTGGAGGTCTCGGCCCCGGAACCCGCGTGGCTTTGTCCCTCTGCCAGTACCTTCAGGTGTGCGGAGAGTGGTCTCAGCATGGTGGTGGCTGGTCCTGGAGGTCTCCGGCTGCCGTAGCCCTGGCCAGGGCGGGGAGGAAAGCTCAACCCGCTCCCCTCCAAGGGACTCCGGGAAGGAACACCCAGGCGCGGGGGCAGAGACTGCACTGTTCTCGTCCGGGTTCTGGATTTTAAAGTCTCTGAGTCTTGGCCGCTGATGGGATTACACGGCGCCAGGGGGCCAGGTGGTGGGTGTTACCCCCGCCTACTGGGCATGCTCAGTCGGCCGCCGGGCCGCGAGCAGGAAGCCGCCCGCGCCCGCCGCCCAGGCCCCCGGCCCGCCGCCCCCGGCCCGCCGCGCGGGGCCATGAGCGCGAGCGCCCGCCGGCCCGCGGGGCCCTGAGCGACCCGGCCCCGCAGCGCGCGCCGCGCGGGCAGGGAACAAAGTGCCGGCATGGCCTCCGAGGAGCTGTACGAGGTGGAGAAGATCGTGGACAAGCGGAAGAACAAGAAGGGCCGCACGGAGTACCTGGTGCGCTGGAAGGGCTACTGCAGTGAGGACGACACGTGGGAGCCCGAGCAGCACCTGGTCAACTGCGAGGAGTTCATCCACGACTTCAACCGGCGCCACGCCGAGAAGCCCCGGGAGGGTGCACTGGCCCGTGCCAGCCGCACCTCGCCCAGCAACGCGCGGAAGCAGATCTGCCGCTCCACACACAGCAGCCTGGCCAGGGTGTCCCCCAAGAGGCTCGCGGTCAGCAGGGACGCCGAGCCCAGGGCCCCCCAGCTGCTGCCTGCCGGCCAGAAGTTCCGCAAGAGCGTGGCCCCATCCCTGTCGGGCCGGAAGAACATGGATCTGGCCAAGTCGGGCATCAAGATCCTGGTGCCCAAGAGCCCCATGTTACATATACATAATACAATTTGGTCAATTATATCTCAGTTGAGCTTAAAAAAAAGAAAAATCCTGGACCAGCAGCATTTATTAATTTCTTTGAATAGTACTTTAAGACATCATCTGTACATTTCAGTATAGCAAAAAGACAGCACAATTTATAATTTATAGAAATAATAACGTAAGAAGCACACAGGTTTTTAAACTTTCATTACCTGTTGATCAAACGTCCTGAATGGAATAAAAACTTCCTGTGCAAGAACTGATTCTGGTATAAGTACTGGAATGAGTGGCCATCATCAAGATACAATTCACCCATGGCAGAACCCTGGAGCATGAAGCACAGGTCGAGAATGTACTTAGATAATAGCTTTCTTGGAGCTGGAGCAATAGCACAGCGGGTAGGGCGTTAGCCTTGCATGCGGCTGACCCAGGTTTGATTCCCAATGTCCCGTGTGGTCCCCCAAGCACCATCAGGAGTGATTCCTGAGTGCAGAGCCAGGAGTAACCCCTGTGCATAGCCAGGGGACCCCTCCCCCCAAAAAGACAATAGCTTTCTTGATACATAATTTCACTCTCTTAAGTAGGAATTAATGCCAATCCTCATAACACCAAGAATTACAGTGCTCTAGAAGAGCATCTCTCTTTCCTAGTTCTGAGGTCCTTTAGAAACAATTCCAGGAACGTAAGTCAAGCTGGACAATGATTCAGAAATAGATCAAAGCTTTGACTTCTGGATAAACATAAGAAGCACCTATCCCATAGAAGATATTCACTACTTTTATACAGTGTCATATACTCCATGTGTACCATTACAAAGAAATTAACAAATGAGATGTCAGAGAGAACATTTTTTTAGAAAAATACCTTAGTATTTAGAGCCACCCGGAGTCCATATGGGGAATCAGCCATGCAGCCCGTGGATTTCCCTATAGTTGTCTTTATTGGCACTATACTTCCTCCTCGTTGAAACACTGGTATCTATAACAGAGTAACTCTCTCAGGGAAGAAACATTCATATAAGACAATTTCAGTGTGGAATATAAAAATATTTCATTGTGCAAGACATATTCTTTACAAGTGTAGACTCAAAGACAATATGGGGGTGCGGCATTAAAAGGAAAAGAGTTAAAATACAAGTAATGGTATGCTTTTTTATGCTGAAGGGAAACATTTTAATCTTCACCAACTTATGATCATTTGATCATCCTATAAGTAGCCTTTTATATTATATTTTTAAATTTTTTCCTATTAATATAACAAACATGTTTATTTCTTGCACCCTAAAAAAGTGAATTTTTCTGTGTAAGTAGGCCCAGATACGTGAAATAATTTTATTGGAGGTTGGGGTTGGGCCATACTTGGAGGTGTCAGGGCTTACTCCTAAGCACCACTGTGCTTAGGTGGTGCTCAAGGGATCATATGTAGTGCTGGGAATCAAACAGGGTCAGTCACATGCAAGTCAAGCGCCTTATCCCCTATACTCTTTCTGGCCCCAATAATTTTCTATATAATTGAGTTTATATTGCTGCTGACAATTATAAAATATTAAATCAGTATTAGCTTGGAAGTCAGCTAAGGGCTGGAGTGTATGCTTGGCCTCCATGGGATCCTAAGTTCCATCCCTGGCACTGATGATCCCCTGAGCACTAGTGGTTATATCTCTAGTGACATCCCAGCACTGTTGGCCTGAGCACCACTGTATTTCTGGGCTCTAACATTAACCATCCAGTCTAGTGGGTGGAGTATTTCTGGGTATGGCCCACAGGATTCTTGAAAACTATTTGGGAGCAACTCCCCCCTCTCCCCAAATAACATCTGTATCTAGTAATCTTCCTTTTACTTAGAACCTGTGAAAATAGTTTGTTTCATCTACAAAAGCAAATTTCTTCATAAATTCCAGGTGGGTGAGTTATTTTGATTCTAACATCATAACTGACAGTGTCTTTTGGACTTAAGAGGTTCAGGGATACAACCAGAATGTCCTGTTCTTTGATATGCTCCTGTAGAAGGATTTTCTGCAGGATATGTGTGGTGCTGACTATGCTCACTCTCTGCTTCCAGTGCTATTGTTTTTCTTAGACACACAAATGTAAATTTAGAGGGAAGAGTTGTTTGTGCTTAGTTTTATATCAGGGTACCAATGTATACACTATTTTATGCTTTTTCTTACATTTAACAGTGTGATGATATAATTAACATGTTGTACAATTCATCCATTAAAGTGCACATTTATTTATTTATTATTTTATTTTTCTTATTTTTATTAGTGAAACACCATAAGGTACATTTGTAGACTTACAAATTTTTGTGCTTGGGTTTCAGTTATACAATGATCGAGTACCCATCCCTCCACCAGTGCCTATTCTCCACCACCACTGATCCCAGTATCCCTCCCATCCTCCCCATCCCACCCTGCCTCTGTGGCAGGGCATTCCCTTTTATTTTCTCTCTCCTTTTGGGTGCTGTGGTTTGCAAAAGAGGCATTGAGTGTCAATCATGTTCGGTCTATTTATTTTTTATTTTTCTTATTAGTGAAACACCATGAGGTACAGTTGCAGACTTACAAACTTTCGTGCTTGGATTTCAGTTATACAATGATCGGGTACCCATCCCTTCACCAGTGCTCATTCTCCACCACCAATGAACCCAGTAGCACTCCCATCCCCCCATTCGTCCCCCCCCCTCACCCCGCCCCACCTCTGTGGCAGGGCATTTCCTTTTGCTCTCTCTTTTCTTTAGGGTGTTGTGGTTTGCAATAGAGGTATTGAGTGGCCATCGTGTTTGGTCTGTAGTCTACTTTCAGCACGCATTTCGCATCTCTCTCTCTCTCTCTGATACGTATCTTTCTTTCTCACTCCTACCCCTTCCTCCTCTCCCCCTAAGAACATAAGAACACACAAGAAGGCAGTTCTCCAGGAAACACTCACCAGGAAAACAAAAATGATTGCTACTTTGTTTTGGAACTTCCAGCCCACAGAACTATGAGAAAATAAGTTTCTGTTGTTTAAACTACCCAGATACTGCTATCTTGTTATGGCAACCCAAGCTGACTAATACAGCACAGTAGATAAAAATAATAGTATGAAAATAACTTACAGTGTCCAAAGCTACTGGGATCTTCACAGTGCATGCGCCTTGCCAAAGTGAAGATGTCTTAGAGTCATACCAGACCTGGAAAGGAACAGAACTGACTGAAAAGAAGTACACAAGTAAGTTGGCTCACAATTTCATTACTTGGTAAAAAATTGATTCACCTGGATTTAAAATAACCAGAAGATAAAATAAGTGCAATTTTTAAAATCCTTAATATACATTAAGAAGAACATGTTTTTAAGAAGATCCCAAAATTAGAAACCTGTACAGTGACACATCAATTTGGCCATCTGTCTTATCATCCAAAAGTTATTTATGGAAGAGCCCACAATGGTAGACATAGTTCCTATTCTCAATAGTCTATAGTACAGTCAGCTTATACAAACTTATTTCATCAAGTAAAACAGAAGATGAGAGAAACACAAAACTAAGGAAGAAAAGCACTTTGCAAACTAATTTCACTGAGATGGAAGAAAGAAAAAGCTTCAGAGAAGAAAACTGATCTTCGAGAAAAACAATGGAAACTTTCATTATTTTTTAAAAACAGAGTACAAACAGGAACTGGGCAGATAGTATAGAGGGAAGGGCTCCTGCCTTGTACATAGCCCTGGCACATGGTCTTCCAAGTTCCGCGAGGAGTGATTCCTGAATGCAGAGACAGAATAAGCCTTGAGTACCACTGAGTGTAGCCACCAAGTAATAAATAAATAATGAGCGGAATTCAGGAATGATGTTCAAAATCTTACAAGGGTCTTTTTCAAGGGAAGAGTTAACTGCTCAAGTACTAAAAAGATCCTAAAATGTAACTTGTTATAAATCCTTAAGATACCATCATGAGTAGCATTAAAACAAAACCTTTTACCTTTTTTCTCTCTTCTAGCTCAGTAAAGTTTCTGGCATAAAAGAGTTAATTTCACAAGTCTACCTCCTGGGATTACCACAGGCTTTATATAGCTGGATGGCTATGTTTCACTGTCCTGTGATATGAGACAAATAGAACTTGACTATCATTAGCTACAGTGAATTCTTCATTCAAAGGAACTGACATAATGTACTACTAGCCTTGGATGGGTTCAGATGGCTAATGTTTTGTCAGGGATTTCTGTCTGTTTATGAAAGACACTGTCTTAGATTTCTTTTCTGAAATACCTTTCTTTGGAAAATGGTAGTGGCTTTAGATAATTGTATCTAGTTATCTACTACCTATCCACTATTTCCAAAATAAATTAGAATGAGAGGTATAGGGTATGTATCTGGAGAAAAGGATATAACTTTTAATACTATGTAAAACAGACCTAAAGTAAGCCACCAAGTTCTTCAATCAGATAGTACTTACTTAGAGGTCGATTATAAGCCACCCAACGAGGTACTAGAGATATAGTAGTGAGCATAATAGATAAAAAATCATTTCCCTAAAGAAGTTCTGATGGGAGTAATAAATAGCAGACAAAAGGTATAAGTGAAAAAGGAATGTTAGAAGGTAGCAGAGATAAGTACCAGGAGGTTTACTCCATGGCTTGGAGGCCAGCCGCACATGCTAGGGGAAAAGGCAGCTCAGATAGAGAAGGGAGCACCAAATAAAGGGTGTTGGGAGGATCCTGCCAGGATGGGAGATGCATGCAAAAGTAGACTATAGAACATGATTGCCACTCAATGCCTCTTTTGCAAACCACAGCACCCAAAAGGAGAGAAAGAACAAAGGGGAATGCCCTGCCACAGAGGCAGGATGGGATGGGGGGACGAAGGGGGTGGGTGGGAGGGATACTGGGATCAGTGGTGGTGGAGAATGGGCACTGGTGGAGGGATGGGTATTCGGTAATTGTATAACTGAAACCCAAGCACAAAAATTTGTAAATCTACAACTGTACCTCATGGTGTTTCACTAATAAAAATTTAAAAATAAGTAAAATAAAAAAAATTAATTAAAAAAATAAAAATAAAATAAACAAATCTCAGAAGAGAGCCAAAAAAAAAAAAAAGAAGGTGGCAAATTTTATAGAGGGAATAAGAGGGGGATGAAGAGGACTAGAGAGGACCAGGATCAGTGAGGTCAAAGGGGTAGTAACAGGCCACGCTGAGAAGGAGATATATGATAAAGATTGTAAGAGAGAGAGTGGGAATGGACATATAGAAACATGGGAAAGACTGACAGGGACTCAGATGAACCCCTCACACAGTGAGATGTGGGCATTAGCTAATCAGCAGGGCAAAGGGTCAGCAAGAAACAGAGTGGTCTTTTGACTCAGGGTCTATGAAGATGTAGCCGGAGAGTCCAGCACAGCATACAACAGGAAACTGTTGAAGGAGTGTACTGTAGTCACAGCAATGTGCCTGCAATGCTAGGTCATCAGCAAATGTGTGGCTAAGTTCAAAAGAGAGCCCAGTTCCTCTTAATGGCAATTTACTGCTTTATTAGAACCAACTTAAGTTTCCCAGTAGAAATGCCTGGCAGGTCACTTTATTTAGCTGACATTAAATTCAAACTTTTCCTCAGAATTTTACTTGGCAGAGGAACCTTTATGTTCAGAACTACTAATTTTTGAAGAAATCAAGAGGAAGGAATATAACATGAATATTCTGAAGCAGTTTCTTGTATTTTTTTATATTAGTAATGAGAAGTGAGTTGGATTAATAAGATCTCTCAAAATAATGTATATTCATAGATATTATATATTATATATATGAATATATGAATATGTGTATATACACCTGTATATACACATATATGTATATATAATGAATATATATATTTATTCACTTCCTAATGCCTAGAAGGAGTAAATATTCTCTTCTGAATATGGTAACATATATAACTAAATTAAAAACCATGTTATAAGGAAAATATCTGGATTATCCAGGTGAGCCCCGAATTTCCTCACAAATGACTTTTAAAAAGAGACAAAAAAGGAGACAAAGACAAACAGGGTAAAGACTGTAAAGTGAGAGGCAGAGATCAGACAGGAGTCCCTAAACTGATGGACACCCAGGGTTGGGGGTAGTCACCAGCAGCTGTGGGGGAAGCATGGCTAATCTTCACAGCTTCCAGAAGGAACCTGCTGACATCTTGGTTTTGGATTTCAAGCATTCAAAACTGTGAGAAGATAATTTTTTTATGTGATACTGAAATCAAACATGGGAAATTCCCATGTCTCCCCATCCCTACCTGAGTTCAGTCCCTGGGTTTCAGTAGGTCTAGGATACTGTGACAACAATCAATGGTAATAATTAATTTAAGCAGAGAGGAAGACTTGGAGGAGCACTGAGAGAAAACACTTTGTTATTATTTTTAATCCTCTCCAGTGAGTACAAAAACTTTTTGGTACAAAAACCTCAGAACTCAGATAAATTCAGAAATAAATAGCAAAGTCTCTTCATATTTCCCTCCACACACCCCCGCCTGTCCCTGTGCTTGACAGCTCATGGTAGACTGAAAATTTCTTCCGACCTCAAGACTCAATGTGCTAACAAAGACTCAGTCACAGGTCGCAGTGTGAAGATAAAAGAACCATTTTGATTCTTTTTGGTGTTATCACCTATTCACTAGCCTCCCTCTCTGATCAACCATGAAGTTTCTTGACCTCTGAGAACAGTGGTTGTGACTTTTAGGACTCTTTAGTTGCTATAGTCATTTGAACTGTGTTCACATAATGAAGAAATATGTTTATATTCATTATAATGAAGGGATGAGACCTAGAAGATATTTGTCCTTTGGAGCGATAGCACAGCGGGTAGGGCGTTTGCCTTACAAGCGGCCAACATGGCCGACCCGAGTTCGATTCCTCCGCCCCTCTCGGAGAGCCCGGCAAGCTACCGAGAGTATTCGATATGCCAGACACAGTAACAACAAAGTCTCCAATGGAGACGTTACTGGGCCCGCTCGAGCAAATCGACGATCAACGGGAGGGCCTTTACCTTTACTTACCTCATTTGATCCTGGCAAAAGCACATCAACCATGGTGGCTTTTGGTTCTGTGACTGGGTGAACCAATAGAGCACTTCCTGAACAATGGAGAAGAAATAAAGTTGAAAACCATTACTAGTGGTATAAGAACATCCTTTCTTGATTCCTGACCCCAAAGTCACCATCTAGTTAAAAATTTAACTCCAGCTTTATCACCCCATTTACAATTTTATAATGCCTGGAGTGACATCTCATACTCTACCCCACTGATATACAGGAGTAGCATACCACATTGGATGGGATGTAAAGTAGAAGGCAACCAATCTTGCTTAAGAAAATAGTAACGTATAAGGTTTAACCTGTAACAACATATTAGTAATCACTTATACAAGGGCTTAATTGCTCCAGGGTGAGATACAACAATCTTCACACAGTTTCTTCTAACAAAATATTTTTTGATCTTTTGAAGTTACTTATTCATAACAAGCAAAACAAAATATTTAGGGTCTGCTATTGATTGGGGCAGGCTTGGGGAGGTTGGAAAATTGGAAAGAAAGGTAGAAAGAAGGTGTACTGGCATTCAAATATTAAACATAATAAATTATCATAAACAAGTTAATAAAAATAAAATAAATAAGAACAACCTTTCTGTTCAGTTGTATGCTTTGTGGTTTTATTAATTTTTGAAGCATTTTCTCAACTGAGACATCTCTCTTGTTTTTATATTTCAACAGCATGAGAACTCTAAAGCCTAGTATACAGGAGGCTAGCAAAATAGTCATTATAGGACTTAAAATATGTATATATATATATATATAGATATAGATAGATAGTTACATGTTGGTATTTCAGAAAGCCCACCAACTGGATAGTCCCTTAAGTAAAATAGCCTTTCATAAAAAAAATTCAAGATTCTTTTCTCAAAACACATAATTAAGCAGAATATAATTTAAAATGCACTAACATACAGAAATTCATCTTTATAAATGTAGTAATATTATTTGCTTGAACTTCTATAGTCTAAAGAACACACAATTCTGCTCACCCCACAGTAAGGTCACCTTCCTTTTCTAAGTGTTCTGACTGTGTGCTAAGCTTAATTGTTACTTGTGTTTTGTGGTTTTAAAGACTGAGAACTGTTTTTTTTCGTTTGGTTTTGTTTTGACTTTGGACCACCCATTAATAGGTAAGGCAATTCCCAGCGCAGTCTCAGGAGTAATCCTAATGATGCTTGGGAAACCTTCTCTCTCTCTTTTTTTCCTCTTCCTCTGCCTCCTCCTCCTCCTCCTCCTCCTCCTCCTCCTCCTCCTCCTCCTCCTCTTCTCCACCCCACCCTCTGTGCTCAGGAGTCACTGCTGGTAGTACCTGGAGAACCATATGCAGTACCAGGGAATAAACCAGGGATGACTGCATGTAAGGCAAGTACCCCAACCCCTGTACTATCTCTCTGACCCAAAACTGTGAATTTCATAAAGGTCTTTAAGAATGATGACTTAAACCAAAGATTTTCCAGAGATATACTATTATATCTCTGGAGATATATATCACTGTCACTGTCTTCCCGTTGTTCATCATCATCACCGCTGTGCGATCGCTCCAGCCCGGAGATATATATATATATTGCTGAAGCAATAGCACAGCGGTAGGGCGTTTGCCTTGCATGTGGCCAACCCAGCTGATCCAGGTTCGATTCCTCCGCCCCTCTCGGAAAGCCCGGCAAGCTACTGAGAGTATCTCGCCCGCATGGCAAAGCCTGGCAAGCTACCCATGACGTATTTGATGGGTCAAACACAGTAACAAGTCTCACAATGTTACTGGGTCCGCTCAAATCGAAGAACAATGGGAGGACATTGGTACAGTGCTACACTATTATAAAGCAAACAAGTGTTTAAGGGCAAACTTTCATCTAAGGGCATATTTCTTCTTTCCTTAGTCCATATTCATATAAATGGTCATCTTAAACTGACTTTTTAATAATTTTTCTAGTCATTTTGTATAGACACAGTAAGAGATATATTACTCTTATATACTCTATACATTACTTTTATAGTCTATATTACTCAGCCACTCTCCTGGGGACATCTCGCTATAGATCCCAGATTACAGTCCTCAGGCCAGAGTACTGTAACCCCAGCAGCGTCCTTGTCCAATTACTTCTCTTTGGGTCATTACAGAATTTGTCCACAACTGTGCTCTTAACTTGTAAGTTTTATGGTACTTAGCCTGCCCCATTTTGATACCAGAGTAGCTCACAGCTTGCCCTGGGTCCATCCAAGTCCCTTCATCGGAACCCTCCTTTTGGGGTGCCAGGAATAAAAGGTAACTAAGTAAATATGCAGATTAAGTTGAGTAAGTACGAACAAATGCCCAGGAGTAAATATTTTTTGGAGTCAATTAACTCCCAAGTTACAAAAGTATAGCATTAACTGTCTTCCTGTTTCTATAAAAAAAGGAATTGCTTTAAAGTAAACTATGCAAAGGACATAAGGGAAAGAGGAAAGCAATATTTCACTTACAAATACAAAATCCAAAGTCCTTAGAAGAATCGGACCTTATGAGTCACAGGGTCTGATTTGGGGACATAAGTGATTAACAGATAGGGGAAGCAGAGCACAGAGAAGTTAAAGATAAACACAGAGGAATGGGAGTGCCCCAGGAGCACTGTGATGTGTGTAACTCAATAAACCTAAACTCCCTTCTGGCAACGGAGAAAGGACGGAGGAGAAAGGATGAACCAATGTTATCCTACAGAATATATGGTCCTTGTCCTCATGATTTTACAATCAGTGAAGGCATATCAAAGAGAGAAGACAAACTGATTAAAGATAAATAGATAAATACCAAGAAAGCAAAAGTGGAAAATAGAATGAAAGTTACATCACAGAAATGTCTGAGTGAGTTATGTGGAATTAGGTACAAAGAAGCAATTTTGGTTAGAAAAGATTTCTCCAAAGATGTAACTGTTTATATTAAGGCCTAAATATGAGTGGAGACCTACAGAGCTAGCTTGATTTTGGGGTTTCCATGACTTAAAAACAGTATTCATTTTTTGAGCAATTTTTTTGTTGAATCTAGCTTCCTGAGTCCTTTCTCCAAATGATAAATTTTAATGTATGAATTTGGTGGTTAATCCATATTACAAAAGAGGCGAACACTCCATACTTCTTCTTTTCAAAGGAAATAAAGTCTTTCAGTCGTTACTCAACCACCTGACATGAATTTTTTCCCCCTGCATCCTCCTCTTGGAATAATATCACAAAGCTGAGAAGTGGTCCAGTGTAATAGATAATGCTTAATTAGGTATTTTTTAAACTAACTTATTGAATAACTTATTTGAAGTTGACAGACAACATTGTGAAAAGTGCTGCATGAAAACAGACTAGCGCTATACTAAAATTATAAATAAAATATAAATAATAAATAATAAAATTACATAAAAATACAATATATAACCTAAAAATATTAGTGACAGAATTTTTACTATTTCTGCTTTCTTGTGATTAGGGATTACTTTTAGAATTATTTACTAGAAAATGTAATGAAAGAATTCAGTATTTATTGGATTCTTTACTAGAAAATATAACAAAAGAATTCAGCATTTATTATAACCATAATTAATCAAGAAATGCTCACCCAGCATATATTCGTCTTCCATGCCAAAAGTTTCTAATTCATCAGGGAACTCTATCCACAGAGGCCTAGATGAAGAAAAAAACCCTTTCATGTCACTAGATGCTTTATTTTAATTCATTCTCATATACCCAGTTTTAGATAACATTCAAAGAAATTAGAACAAACTAAAGATCCAAGATTATTTTTTCATATGAGTCAAGATTTTTTTATTTATTTATTTTTTTGCTTTTCGGGTCATACCCGGCGATGCTCAGGGGTCACTCCTGGCTCATGCACTCAGGAATCACTCCTGGCGGTGCTCAGGGGACCATATGGGATGCTGGGAATCGAACCTGTGTTGGCCATGTTGGCTGTATGCAAGGCAAATGCCCTACCCACTGTGCTATCGCTCCAGCCCCATGAGTCAAGATTTTATGAGCAATTGCTGATCCTGTATATTTTTCTAATGTGAGAGCTACATGTTCCAATGAGAAACTGATATTTGCAACTTTCAAGTTGCAATATTTGCAAATTATGGTACTTGCAATTTCTTTTCTGATTACTGTGCACTAAATACCACTCAGATGGGCAGAACCAGTCCTTCATCCAAGTACAAATGCCTCACACTTTTCACATAAAACAAATCAAATGTTTGCAAAAACATTTTAATAGTGATGTAGATCTGTGCTCTTTTCCATGCTGTCATTGTCTTTCATGTATTCTTAAATCATTACCAACTTACATGAAAAGAACTGACTTTTTTGTTGTTGTTTTCAAGCTGGAAAAATCTTTTGAAAGTTGAGAAACTTGTGAATGCTTTTTAAAAATTGTTATTGCTTACAATGATCTAGGTGGCATTTGGAGCTTATGAAAATAACAAAACTGAGGTGGGAGAAAATTCTCAACAGGCTGAGCACATGCTTTGCAGGCAGAAGGCCCAGGTTTGATCCTTATCACTGCAAGGCCCCTGAAATGCCCCTGCTCCCCCAGCACTGAGCCAGGAATAGCCTTTGGTCATCACTGAGTATAATCTAAAAATAAAATAATACCCTCATTTCCATATCTATGTATTTGCATATCAATGTATAGTTCTAGTAAGTTTGTCAATTTCATGGGAGGTTTTTTAGCCCATAAAAGAAACTTATCTTCCCTGAATTCACTAGCCTTTGGAATAACATATTCTACTTCTACTCCTACTCCTAGGGCTGGAGCGATAGCACAGCGGGTAGGGCGTTTGCCTTACAAGCGGCCAACATGGCCGACCCGAGTTCGATTCCTCCGCCCCTCTCGGAGAGCCCGGCAAGCTACCGAGAGTATTCGATATGCCAGACACAGTAACAACAAAGTCTCCAATGGAGACGTTACTGGGCCCGCTCGAGCAAATCGACGATCAACGGGAGGGCCTTTACCTTTTACCTTTACTCCTACTCCTACTAATTTGTTACTAAACAAATAGTAATGAATTAATGGCTCCAGTGAACTTGGCTAGTGTCAGAAACACTAGGGAAATGTCCAACAAATATAAACGCATGTAAACTACCTCAGGAGAGTCAAAATAGATTTGGAGGTATGACCTTAGAATCTGTATAGCTTCATTTGGAGCCACATGTGATCAAGTTCAGGGATTACTCCTAGTTCACCGCTCAGGTGTGACTCCTGACAGTGCTTGGAATACCACATAGTGCCAGGGATTGAATATACATACATTGCAAAGCATGTGCTTAGTCCATTGATCTACTTCTCTGACTCTTAGAATCTCTATGCGTTTCTTTCAATCCAGGTGAAAAAATAAGTTTCAGGTGATTCTGATCTGAGCAAAAAACAGGAAGTAAAAATCTTGGTTTCTCTATTTATATTATTCTGTAACTTAGAAAGTGTGTGTGTGTTTAATATCCTGTCCTCAAAACAGAATCAGAATGTAACTTATATACCAGAAAAAAAATGTTTACATTCCCCTGATGTGCTCCATATGCCAAACACAGTAACAAGTCTCACAATGTTACTGGGCCCGCTGGAGCAAATCAATGAACAATGGGAGGACAGTGACAGTGACAGTGACATTAATTCTGGACTGGTCTTTAAACCCGAGGGTTTATTCCTAGGATAAACACTGAGTTCATTTAGGTAACAGTCATTCACTTTTCTTTGAAAAACTTATTTGTTGTTTTTCTATCAAATATTAACATGAATCACAAAATGGCAAGGTATCTGACCTTATCTTCTGTGACTTCAACTGCCATCACCCTGATAATGTTTAAAACTCAGTGTGGTGATTGTACTTGATTAAATACATTGCTTCCTCTCTTGTAATCATTGCTTAATTATTAACTTCATCCCTAGAAGCTGAAGAGAATCTGGCACAGATTTGTTGCTGGGGCCCTAATTGGCGAAGCTTTTTACCTCATGACAGGTTGAGAAGACACATGTGCATGGTAGAACAGAGAATACAGGTAGGGCAGAAGGGTATAGCGAGCTCTGATGGCTTCTCGGATGAGCCGAGTAGGTTCCTGCCCAAAGAGCCACGGTTCCCGCCTCTTAGTGTTGTTGGTGGCATGTCCACGGAAGAAGGGCTGGTAGGCTCCAGCCTGGTACCAACGCACTAGCAGCTCAACCTCTGGATTCCCAATGAAGCCACCAACATCGGCTGATGAGTCAAAGGAAAGCTGAGTGAGGAAACCAGGCTAATCCAAATAATTATTAAAACTACATAAGACTCAAATGATAAGGTAAAACTGTGGCCTCAAATTGTGTTGCATCTTTTAAAAACCCAGGCTGTGGATCTGAAAATAGGCTCTGTTATTCTTTTCCTGTCAAAAGGTCAGAAGTTTTCCTGTGAGATCAATATTCCTGTATGTTCCAGAACTCAGATGATCCCCCAATTGTAAAATGCCTGACTAAATCTGTTTGGGGGCTAGGGGATAAGGAATTTTTTTTCCTTTCAAAGAGCAGAAGGAAAGTAATAGAGCATATCAATGTATCACTGTCATCACATTGTTCATTGATTTGCTCGAGCGGGCGCCAGTAACATCTCCATTTGTCCGTCGCGTACAAGCGTAGCCCAATGGCATATTGGGGGCTCTTTCAGGGTCAGGGGAATGATGCCCGTTATTGTTACTGTTTTTGGCATATCAAGTACGTCATGGGTAGCTTGCCAGGCTCTGTCGTATGGGCGGGATACTCTCGGTAGCTTGCTGGACTCTCCGAGAGGAAAAACTGCCTCTGGAGCATAAAAATTTCTTTTTTCTTTTTTTTTTTTTCTTTTTGGGTCACACCCGGCGATGCACAAGGGTTATTCCTGGCTCATGCACTCAGGAATTACTCTTGGCTGTGCTCAGGGGACCATATGGGATGCTGGGAATCGAACCCGGGTCGGCCACGTGCAAGGCAAACGCTCTACCTGCTGTGCTATCGCTCCAGTCCCCCATAAAAATTTCTTTATTTAAAATATTTTCTATCAGAATCTCTTCTTGTAAAAATATATCTTTAAAAATATATGAGAACTAAGAGAGACAGATAATTAGAATTAGAATTTGGACTTAGGTGAAATTTAATGTTCTGCCCTTAAGCAAGATACATATTTCCTTCACTTCAAGCCTGAGGACATCATCTTACCTCCACAAAAAGAGATTCCAGTAATGCTGAGAGTGAGTAACATTGGGATGGAAATTTTCAGGTAACTCCATTCTGCTTTGTTGTCGCCTGTCCATACTGCACCTAGATCACCAGTTATAATGTATTTAAAAAAGAACTATAAGTAAGTTTATGCATTAAATTTCATATGTATACACCTCATTCATTTGTAATAAGCTAACATTATGGAAGACATTTATTTTATCTTTTTTTTGCTTTTTGAGTCACACCTGGCGATACACGGGGGTTCCTCCTGGCTCTGCACTTAGGAATTACTCCTGGCAGTGCTCAGGGAATCATATGGGATTCTGGGAATCGAACCTGAGTTGTGCAAGGCTCTACCCGCTCTGCTATGGCTCCAGCCCCCACATTTATTTTATTTAATATATACAAATTCTGATTGATGAAGCTCGACTTATTATTTTTTTCTTTTATGGCTTATGTTTTTCATGTTGTAAGTAATCTTTACTTATCCAAAGTCACAAAGGTGTGCTTTATCTTAGAATTTACTTTTGTTTTTACTTATGTAATGTAGAACTGCATCCAATCTTTAGTTAAATTTTTTTTTTGGCTTTTTTGTGTCATACCCGGCGATGCTCAGGGGTTACTCCTGGCTCATGCACTCAGGAATTACCCCTGGGCGGTGCTCAGAGGACCATATGGGATGCTGGGAATCGAACCTGGGTTGGCCGCGTGCAAGGCAAACGCCCTACCCGCTGTGCTATTGCTCCAGCCCCTTTAGTTACTTTTTAATACGATATGAAAGGTTGAGGTACCACCCGTCTCCACATGAATATTCAGTTATTCCAACACCATTATTGAAAGAAAAACCCTCTCTCTTGAGCTCTCTTGGTGACTTGCATGCAAATTAATTGGTGATAAATGTGTTGACCTATTTTCTAGCCTATACCACTTATTCATATGCCTACCCTCCATCTCTAATAGTCTATAAATTGAGGGAGTTGGTACAGATCATATAGGGAAGATAAAACGGTAAGTATAACACCTTATTATTTATTTAGCCTTTACTGAGACAGTTACACTATTTTATAACTTAATAATCAAAACAATATTATCAGGTAAATGTGCTTAATTCTATTCTATAGAGGAGGCAAATGTGACAAACAGCGGGTATTATATTTTACCCAGAGTCATACTATTACTGAGTGGTAGAGATGGGATTTGAGCCCAGACAGTCAAACTGTAGTCTATGATTTAATTCACTGCTTAATTCTCAACCTTTCTCTGACGAGGGCCCCTTCAGACCTTTTGATCTTGTTTCCTTCCTGCACCATCACACCATTCTTCTTCTTGGCCTCTAATTCATGCTGTACCTCCCCCCGCCATTTCAGTAATTTTCACCTGTGGCCCCATTAAGGAGGCTTCATTGAATTGTTCTGGTCTAGTTGATATGAATTTATAAAGATAAATTATATAGCTCTATAGGAGGCCATGAAAGGGAAAAAAATCCTACTTTACTAACTCTAGATTATTCCAGTAATATTTTTGTCTTATCATCTACCAAAATACTTTTGGTAAATATTTTTGTTTTTATCTTTCCTAGGAATTTTAGGCTGTACTGTGGCCAGCAAAGAAAGTTATTTTCAAGGGACTATTCTTTTTAAGCATTACTATAACAATTTCTCCTTGACTTCCAATGAGATATCTACATAATTATTTTGAATGCCAAATGATAACATTTTCTTTTTTTTAATTTAATTTATTTTTTTTCTCCAAATGATAACATTTTCACAAAGAACAGATATTTTTTAACTTCTTTTGAATGTTTAGTTAGAAGCTCTCTGGCTGTTGATCTTTGGCATAAAAGAATATCATGGTGTTCTCTACAATGGTTCATTCAATATACTTTGGGACAAAGCTGATAGCTGTACACAGAACACTGGTGGCTAGGCTGTGGGCAAACATTTAAAAGATGAACGATTACTCAGTATGTACATCTTTTATATTTTAACAGCTATTTATAGTTTTTCTTTTAATATATGTTATTTCTTTTAGTTGTTAAAAATTATATGTGTAAGTGATCTGAAAAACAGACAGAATGAAAATAGAAAATCACTCAAGATCAAAATAAGACAGTTAATGATTTTGATTAGTACAAATATATTACACATTTTAATTGACTGGAAATATACACATCTAAGCATCCTGTGCTTCTCCTTATCATGATATCACAAAATTTTCTACTATAATAATTAAAAATAGTAATTTTAAGTAGCCTCATAACAGAGTATCATATGAATATACTATACTTTCATAATTATTCCCTAGTTGTTATATACTTGGATTTTCCTTTTTTGTTTTAGGAATCAAAGTGTCTCTGAATATGAATCTTTGTCTGAGATGACAATAGTTTGTTTTTTTCTAGAGTACTATAGGATGGAGCAGTAAACCTAATCATTCAAAGGTTCTGTAAAGGCCGGACTTTTCAAACAAGGACCTAAGCTTTGCCCAAGGCCAGGGTACTTAAAATAGCCTTCTTGCCACAGATGGTTAAGTTGAATTGGATCTGCATTAGCTAGTAAACCTGATACAGTTATAGATGACCCTGACCACAGCAACAGCCAAGTCTATTTTAAGCCATATTGCTAAGTGGAACAGGTGGTTAAAGGAATGTGTTAAAGCATATTCCTCCTGGTTTTGATAAATCAGAGACAGGATCACAGATGTCCATCTCAGAAAGCAGATACTCCAAATTATTCTTCCAACATCTAAGTGGGAATTTCTTCAGTGGAAAGCAAGTAATTAAATTTTATTAAAGTTGGCTTATTCTATCTAAGTAAACTGGTTTGTTTTTCTGAGTGACAACATACTTATTTCAGGGCACAGCATTCTCTGTATCTAAGGCCTACGATGGTTACTGAAAAATAAGGCATCAAGAGAGCAGCATTGCATACATTAAATAGTCTAATAAAATAGGTTGCTAACTTATGTTTTTAGTCTAATCACAGGAGCCATCCCTTACCATATTTCTGTGACCCGGCAAAGAAAGAACGTGTAAGAACAAAAGGTCTCTCCTTTCCTTTAGATCGTTGTATCAGTCCTTCTGCAGTCGCCATTTGCTATAAAAATCAAAGAATAAACATTTCAAGGAGATTATGGGGTTAGAGCATTGTTTGGAGGAACATCTCCTATAAGCTTATTTAGCATGCTAAAAAGAAGTGGTTGGTGGGAATGTAAAATATTTTCAAGATGTAATGAAAGAAGTTGAAACTTCTCTGTGAGAACAGAAAAAATTCATTAATATAGCGATAAAATAATGTAAAATAAGGTAGCAGCCATGCTGTTCTTAATATTGGTATTTATAATTTTTCTCATATAAGATATGCCAGTGATTTTCAAACTATTTAATCTACAAATTGGTACCAGTAATATAGCCTGGTAGTGAAAAATCACTGATCTCCTAAATCCTTCTTTTGAGAAACAGATTTCACTAATAAAACCTCCCAAAAACAAATTTAGTGACACTAAGTGACTTGCCTAACTTATTTAGGCATAATAATAATATAATAAACTCTCTAAAACAAGTTGTAGTTAAAGTAGAATACTATTAGGGAAGGAAACATATACTATAAAAACTATGCTGCATCTAGTCAGGAGCTCCCACTGGAAAATAACAACTGGTGGAAAGATCTTAGGAATGTAGGTATAGTTTATAAATAACCAAGAACATAGGTATAAATAAAAATAAATGACTTCCAAGTCTTCTTGATGTGAGTGGCAACTGAAAGGCAATTATATCATCATCTTTTGAGAAAGCTAAGTACTTAAGGAAGACTTTCTACATTTAAAATGTATATTTACTAAAATTGTATATTGTAATGTTTACTATATCTTATAGTAAAATATATTTACCAAGTATAATATATAACATAGAATATGTTATGTTTACAAAAATAGTAATATTTACTGTATCTAATTCCTTTTGTATTAATATGACTTTCTACTATATTTAGACATTTGTGAAATCTCAAATTCCTTTTTTTGAGGGGCTCACACCTGGCAGTGCTCATGGACTATTCTATTCTTCCAGATTTGCTGCACGGGGTGGGAGGTAGTAGGCCACTCCCCATTGCTGCTTGGGGGGATCATGCAGTGTCAGGGATCAAACCTGAGCTTCTGGAACACAACACATATGCAAAGAATATGTTTTCATTGCCTTTATTTATGTATGTGTACACACTGCCTACTTCAAGAAAAGGTTTTTTGGAATAGTACCCAATGCTACTTATTAGTGCTTCTGCCAAAGACAATGTTTCTGTTATTAATCTCACAAATTTATAAATTACAGACCAAGTTCATTATAGAAGAAAAAGATGCAAAAGAGAAAAAAAGCCTCATACTGGTACAATTTGGCAATCATCCTTGTGTCAAAAATGACATTTAAGGAAAAACAAACAGTATAGTGTTATTGCAAAGCAGTCCAAAAGGCAGAGCAAATGGATCTGATTGGCTTCTCCCTGGATGCCTTACCTGATAAAAACCATAGATGTTGTGAAGTTCTCTGTGCTCCCAATTACCATGATGAATGGCATTCTTCTGCATGGTTAGCTCTGGTCCTCTAAAGACAGAGGGCTCATTCATGTCATTCCATACGTACAGAACATCAGTAGATCCCTAAAAAGCAAGTCATGTCAAAATACTTGCCCAGTATTTTCAGCTTTGTAACGCAGAAGGTTTGTTTTTTTTTTTCCATTAACAATTCTGCTATATGAGTCTGAAAGCAGTTTAATAAGGAAGTCCTGGTGAGATCTGGTTCAACATTGTTTATTTCCTGCTCTAAATGGTTATCTATGTATTAATATGTGGTTCTCTGGGAGTTTATGGATTAAGAGTTCAGTCCAGGAGATAAAAAAGACCTGACTTCTAATCTTGGATGCACCATTTACTGCATTCCAATTAGCAAGTTGGAAATAAACTTAACCAACTTTTAAAAATTGTTCCTGATCTCTCAACAAGTGGTGCTGAGAAAACTGGACAGCTACCTATAAAAAAATGAACTCTGACCTTTGTCTAATGCAAAGCACAAAAATCAGATCAAAGTGGATTAAAGACCTCAATATCAAACCTGAATCCATAAGATACATGGAGGAAAATGTAGGTAGAATCCTCTATGACACTGAAGCTAAAAGCATCTTTAAGGATGAAACACCACTGACCAAGCAAGTGGAAACAAACAAAAACAAATGGGACTACGTTAAATTAAGAAGCTTCTGTACCTCAAAAGAAACAGTGACCAAATAACAGATACAGGCCACGGAATGGGAAAAAATATTTACCCAATACCTATTTGATAAGGGGCTAATATCCAGGATATACAAGATACTGGTAGAATTGTACAAGAAAAAAAACCCAACCCCATCAAAAACTGGGGAGAAGAAATGAACAGTAGCTTCCTCAAATAAATACAAATATCCAAAAGGCACATGAAAAAATGCTCTATATCACTAATCATCAGGGAGATGCAAATCAAAACAACAATGAGATACCATCTCACACCACAGAGACTGGCACACATCAAAAAGAGCAAGAACAACCAGTGCTGGTGAAGATGTGGGAGGGGGAAGGGACTCTCTTTCATTGTTGGTGGGAATGCCAACTGGTCCAGCCTTTTTGGAAAACAATATGTGCATTCCTTAAAAAACTAGAAATTGAGCTTCCATATGACCCAGCAATACCACTTCTGGGAATATATCTCAAGGGTGCAAAAAGGCACAGTAGAAATGACATCTGCACATGTATGTTCATTGTAGCACTGTTCATAATAGCCAGAATCTAGAAATAGCCTGAGTGCCCGAGAACAGACAACTGGTTAAAGAAACTTTGGTACATCTACACAATTGAATACTATGCAGCTGTTAGGAAAGATAAAGTCATGAAATTTGATCATAAGTAGATGGTCATGGAGAGTATCATGCTAAGTGAAATGAGTCAGAAAGAGAGAGACAGACATAATATGACTGCACTCATTTGTGGAATATGATTTGTGGAATATCATAATATGAGACTAAAACCCATGGACAGTACAGACAGGGCCAGGAAGATGGTTGGCAGCCTGCCTTATGAGCTAGGGGAGAAGGCAGCTGGGATAGAGAAGGGATCACAAAGTCAATGATGGTTGGAGGGGGAGGGATCACTCGGGATGGTAGATGTGTGCTGAGTGTAGATAAAGTATCAAACATGATGGCCTTTCATTATCTGTATTGCAAACCGTAATGCCCATAAGTAGAGAGAGTAAGAGGGAAACTGTCTGCCATAGAGGAAGGGGAGGGTTGGGATGGGATGTGGTAGGGATATTGGGGACACTGGTGATGGAAAATGTACACTGGATGGGTGTTTGATCATTGTATGACTGAAATTCAAACATGAAAGCTTTGTAAGTGTAGTTCATGGTGATTCAATGAAAAAAAGAAAGGAAAAAAGTTGTTCCTGGTTTCAATTTTCTCATCTTCCAGATTACTTGTTACTTAATGAACATCAGATGGTTATTATGAAGATAAAATAATGCACATCACATGCTTGGCACATAGCAAATAATTTATACTACACATTATATTCAGCATCATCATAACTAGTTGATACAGTTATTTAGATGTGACTGTGACTGCACCAGTGTTTTTTTTCCTTTCAATTGCAGTGCTGGGGATCAAACATACAAGGAAGTGTTCTGCCATTAAACTACATCCCTAGTCCCTATGGCTCTTTGTATCACTGTATCACTGCATCACTTACCACTTATAGTCTAGCCCACTGATAGCTCTTTATAAAAAATGAAAATGTTTAAAAGTTGGGGGTCATGGGTCATGCCCAGGCATGCTCAGGAGCTATTTCTGTGTCTGTGTTCAGGGGTCACTCCTGGTGGTGCTCAGGGAAACCATATGCAATGGCAGGGATGAAACCAGGATTTTTTTTCTTTTAAATAGAAGTATAATTGACATACATTATTTTATTTGTATTAATGATTTGACATTTGAATCTCTAGCTTTTCTAAGATTTAAAATACTAATTTATTGAATAGCCTTGGACTGACCTGGGCACTTTTTGTACAAATAATTTTGTACATAAGTAAAGTAAGTAAAGGCCCTCCCGTTGTTCATCGATTTGCTCGAGCGGTCCCAGTAACGTCTCCATTGGAGACTTTGTTGTTACTGTGTCTGGCATATCGAATACTCTCGGTAGCTTGCCGGGCTCTCCGAGAGGGGCGGAGGAATTGAACTCGGGTCGGCCACGTTGGCTGTGTGCAAGGCAAACGCCCTACCGCTGTGCTATCGCTCCAGCTCCAGCTATTTTTGTACAAATAATTTTGTACATAAATACCAAAATGCCAAAAATATTAATACTTTTGTAATCATGTTACCTAATATAATAAATAATAAATGATACAAATAAGCAAAATAGGGTTTGGAAGATTTTATACTTTTTTTTTGTTTCGGGGACACACCCTGCAGTGCTCAATGTTTACTCCTGGTTCTTATGATCAGAAATCGTGCCTGGTGGTGCTCAGTAGACAGTATATGGTGCTGGGAATTGAACCAGGATTGGCAGCATGTAAGGCAAGTGCCTTAATCCCTTTATTATCTCTGCAACTTCTATCACTGCATCACTGTCATCCCATTATTCATCAAGTTACTCGAGTGGGAGCCAGTAATGTCTCCATTTGTCCCAGCCCTGAGATTTTAGCAGCCTCTCTTACTTGTCCTTCCCAATGCTGCCATATTGGAGGCTCTTTCAGGGTCATGGAAATGAGACCCATTATTGTTACTGCTTTTGGCATATCTAATACACCACATGGAGCTTGCCAGGCTCTACTGTGTGGGCAGGATATTCTCGGTAGTTTGCTGGGCTCTCCATACACACACACACACACACACACACACACACACACACACATACTTCCCTCTATGATTTGTTGCCTACTGTCTGAGCCCCATCAGATATGGTGTGGTAATTATGGAAAATGGGTAGGGAGTGTCTTATGATGTTTCGCGGTCCAGAAATATATTCACTTATATGTGAGGCTCGGCCCAAGCACGTGGAAAGCAGCCTGGAGCATGGTGGTAGTTGGGTAGTGGAGGTTGGCTGCCGGGGCTGGATCCTTTGGGGCGGGGAGGGCTCTCACGCGCCTCCCTCTGGGGCTCCCCATGTGAAAACAGCCTGGTGCAGAGTCTGATGGCATGGTTGTGGGGGCCTCATTTTATGCTCCCTTTCGGGAGAAGCAGCCATGAGTTCTGGAGGTTAGCCAATGAGGAGATTATCAGGCACCGCAGGAGGTGGCTTATGAGTGTGTAACTCCTATACCTTTTTTAAATGATACATAGTTTGTAAAAATATTTCACATGTATTTGAATTATATTTAATAGAGAATATGATTGTCTAGTATTTATACAACAATTTAGAAATATAACTTGAAATATCATAGTTCATCACGAGAAGTGAAAATCAAAGTTTTTCTGCATTTGGTAATACATATGGCTATTGTTATGGCAACATCCAAGTATGTAGCACTGTAGCACTGTCCTCTCGTTCATCGATTTGCTCGAGCAGGTACCAGTAACATCTGCATTGTGAGACTTGTTGTTACTGTTTTTGGCATATTAAATACGTCACAGGTAGCTTGCCAGGCTTTGCCATGCGGGAAGAATACTCTCAGTAGCTTGCCAGACTCTCTGAGAGGGGCAGAGGAATTGAACCCTGGTCTATCATGTGCAAGGCAAACGCTCTGCCCACTATGCTATCGCTCTGGCCCATCCAAGTATATAAGTGTTATTTATCAATAGCTACTGGATAAAGCATAGAAACTCTACTTAATAAACTCTGCCCCCTTTCAACCTTTCAAGTAACTGATAAAGAGAAAAAGAAAGGCAACAGGAGTTGGAGACATCATACAATGGGTAAGGTGTTGGCCTTTGATCCCTGGAATGCTATATGAGCACACAGCCAGGATTAAGCCCTGAACTTAGCCAGGTATGACCCCAAAACAAAACAAAGGGCAACAAACCTGATAAAAAGATAAAGCAAAGAGACTTGAATACCACTCTCGGACTTTGGGATCAGTGAAATCCAGGTAAGAAGAGAGACCTGTAGAAGCAGAACAGACAAATTTGTGAGTAACAGTGGTCCTGATTGGATATGTTACTGCAAAAACATCCTATTTGAAAACCAAATTATTAATGGGTACCTTATATATATCAGAAAAAAAATGTATATATGGAAGAGTCAATACCAAGGTGGTGAGAAGCAGATGAAGGCAATGATTCAACCCAGAGGTTCAGAAGGAATGTCCAGAAGTGATTAAAAAAAAAAATTCAGGCTGCCCATGAACGAGCCTTCTGGCTGCTGATCGAGCTGCTTATCGGCCATGATCCCAGAGAATCAGAAACAAAGCTAGGAACACAGCAGTTTTTGGCAGAAATCCCTCCAGATTTAATTATTAAAACCTCAGAATTCCAAAATTCTATTGCAGCTGCAGTCATCAAATGCAATTCATAATCAGCAGTAGAAAATGGATTGTTTAATGTTGCCTTTTTGGCAGATCTGAGTGTTGGGGTAAAATCCTAAATAATAATGGTGGGTTTGGTGTCGAAATATTGAATGTAATCAAAGTAGAGAGAGAGTAATGTGGAAATTGTCTGCCACACAGGTAGGGGGAGGGTGTGGATTGGGGGATACTGGGGTTTTTGGTGGTGGAAAATGTGCACTGGTGAAGGAAGGGTCGGGAGTTTCATCATTGTATGACCGAGACTTAAACTGAAAACTTTGTAACTGCTCTCACAGTGTTTCAATAAAAATAAATAAATAAAATTTTAAACAGTAAAAAAAAAGAAATTCAAACTGTCCCTCACTATAGGTCTAAGATGATCTGAATATGGATGACAGATATTCTTGAGTGAGCCCTCTCTTCTTAAAAAGAGCAGAGAAGTGTTTCTGAGTGGTATAATCAGGGGGGGAAATGCGTGGGGTTTCTCTATAACAGTGGTTTCTAACCGCTGGTCCATGTTCTAACACTGTTATGCAAAAATTTTCTGTCTTTGTGCAAAACAGTTATTGATGTTTAGCCCCTGAGATATCTGAATCATGTTGTGTAATGCAGCGGTAGAGTGGAGCAGAGCACTGCTTGCTGCAATGAATATTAATGGTGGTGTGTATATGCTCCCTTTTCCCCTGTTTTCACTGTTCCACAGTATAAAAAAGTTGAAAACCACTGCTCTAGAGTGCATGAATTTGTTATAGGAGGCTTTGATATAATAGAGTGGGGCTGGAGCGATAGCACAGCGGTAGGGCGTTCGCCTTACAAGCGGCCAACATGGCCGACCCGAGTTCGATTCCTCCGCCTCTCTCGGAGAGCCCGGCAAGCTACCGAGAGTATTCGATATGCCAGACACAGTAACAACAAAGTCTCCAATGGAGACGTTACTGGGCCCGCTCGAGCAAATCGACGATCAACGGGAGGGCCTTTACCTTTACCTTTCCTTTTATCTTTGAGTTTCTACCAAGAGTCCAATAATTTCTGGAATGAAGAATCCAAAGTTGCCAAGGGAACTGAGGTCACTTATGAAAGGCTGGGAAATTAAAATTACAAGTGAATAGTGCTAGATTATTTTTCTTTTTCTCTTCATCTCCTTTTTCTCATTTCCTGTTTTAAAATATTTATTTCCTCAGGCTCTCACTGAGCTTTGCTAGTTTATTTTTCATTCATTCATTGATAAGTGTATACAAGGCATATTTCACCAGGGATTATAAAACATACTAAGAAAGCAATATCAGCTCTTAAAAAGATTTCAAAATGCATTAAAAGACACTTAGAAGAAATGCTAATGATGGCCATGAACCCTTCATTAATGGGGACCAAACAAGTGGAAACAGAGAGTGTATAATGTGGTTATCTTACCAGGCCAGCATATTCCTTCAAAGTCTCCTCCATCGTGATTCCTCACAAAGAAGCCCTGTTCTTTGGCCTTAGCATATACTAAGTAGTTAGGGTCAACCTTGATGTGGGGGTCACTAATGACCACAAGCTGTAAGGACAGAAAGGTTTGAAGAACCCATTAGTTTCATGTAAGTCAAATGCTCATTTATATTTCAGCATAGTTCAGGGGTTCAATTTTACTCAAGTATGGAAATATTCAAGATCAGTGCTTTCCAACCTCCAGTCCACAGACTATTGCTAATTCACAGAAATTTCCTGCAAATCTGTGAAGAAGATATTGTTTACCAGAGGGGACCATAGAGACAATGTAGGGAGTTAAGTTGCTTGCCTTGAATGCAGATGCCACCCAGTTTGGTCTAGATAGCCTAGAAAAGAAGCAGCAGCTGATTTAGCACTTGTATTATTTGAATTGAAACATTGTATCTCAAAAGTTAAAAACTTTCTATTCATTGAATTTCTTCTGCTCAGTTTCTAGTTACTTTAAAATAACTATAAAATTGTCATTTTGTTGTATTTTAAATGTATTGAAAATAAATTTTATTGTATTTTAAAAGGGCTGGAGCTATAGCGCAGCCGGTAGGGCGTTTGCCTTGCATGTGGCCGACACAGTCAAGTTCGATTCCTCCGCCCCTCTCGGAGAGTCTGGCGAGCTACCGAGAGTATCTTGCCCACACAGCAAAGCCTGGCAAGCTACCCGTGACATATTCGATATGCCAAACACAGTAACAAGTCTCACAATGTTACTGGGCCCACTCGAGCAAATCAATGAGCAAATCGATGAACGAGAGGACAGTGACAATATTTTAAAATGTTATGGTAAATAATGGCATTTTTCCTGCCCCAGAGTTCTACAGAACATTTCTAATTTCATTTGTATTCATTGGTAAAATGGCTGAAAACTATTTTATTTATTTTATTTTTATTGTTTTATTTATTTATTTTTTCTTTTTGGGTCACACCCGGCAATGCACAGGGGTTACTCCTGGCTCTTCACTCAGGAATTACTCCTGGTGGTGCTCAGGGGAACATATGGGATGCTGGGAATCGAACCTGGGTTGGCCGTGTGCAAGGCAAACGCCCTATTTGCTGTACTATCGCTCCAGCCCCTGTAAACTATTGTTTTAGACACAGGTGAAACCCTGTAGTCTCCAATGTGCTTGTGGAAATATGTCAAAATTACACCGATTTTTTTCATAATTATTACTTCCCAGCCAATACATATTCTTAAGACAGTATTTACTAAGCTTCTGTCTGTACTGCTGAATGCTACACATAAGAGATTTTAAGTTAGTGATTCTAACTCCCTGGATACCAATAGTCTAAGACAATACTGACAAAAGCAACAGTAAATAAGAAAATAGCATGTTAAAAAGCAACCTAACCCAAGAGTAGCAGCATATTTAGGAAGTAATATGAGAAGAGCTGTCATGATAGCTCTGTGATTAGGCTGTGTTAGCATTTCTCTCCTGTTCTAATACTGTCACGTTCACTTAGCCCAAGGTCTCAAGACTATTTTATTTGGCTGGGACAATCTTCTAATTTTTCTTCCTCATCTCTATTCATACCAATTCCACATACTAAAGTTTAGTTTTGTTGATCAAATTTATTAAAAATTTAATTGTGAAAAATATTCATAAATTTGGGCTGGAGCAATAGCACAGAGGGTAGGGCTTGCACGCAACCAACATGGCCAACCCGAGTTAGATTTCTCTGCCCTCTTGGAGAGCCCGGCAAGCTACCGAGAGTATCTTGCCTGCACGGCAAAGCCTGGCAAGCTACCCGTGACGTATTCAATATGCCAAGCACAGTAACAACAAAGTCTCACGATGGAGACGTTCCTGAGCCCGTTCGAGAAAATCGATGAACAATGGGAGGACAGTGATACAGTGATTCATAAATTTACCATCTTAACTTTTTTATTTTGAGCCATACCTGGCTCTGTGCTCAGGATCTCTCCTGGAAGAGCTCTGGGATAAAGCAAGGTTGGCTGCATGCAAAGCAAACACCTTATCCACCATACCATCTCTCTGACCCCATCCGAACCATATTTAAGTGTACAGTGAATTAGTGTTATATAATTCTCATTAATTTACAATTTACCTTCAGAAATCTTCTCATCTTGCAAACTAAATCTCTGAACTCATTAAAGAATATCCCCTTGTTTCTGACTTTGTTTAGATGTTGGCCACTGACCATCACCATTCTACATTATATTCCTATGACTTTGATAACCTTCAGTTTTAAGTAAAAATATACCCTGTAGCACTGTAGCACTGTCCTCCTGTTGTTCATCCATTTGCTCCAGCGGGCCCAGTAACATTGTGAAGATTGTTACTGTGTTTGGCATATCAAATACGTCACAGGTAGCTTGCCAGGCTTTTGCTTTGCGGGGGAGATAGTCTCGGTAGCATGCGGCCTCTCTGAGAGGGGTGGGGGAATCAAACTCAGGTCGGGCAATTGGCCTCATGCAAGGCAAACGCCCTACCTGCTAGGCTATCACTCCACCCAAAATATACACTACTGGTCCTTATTATTGGCGTATTTCACTTAGTATAATGCCCTCAAAATTCATCAGGTGGTAACATATCAATTTTCATTTGTTTTGTTTTGGAACCACACTCAACAATGATCGGGGATCAGTTCTGGCAGTGCTTGGGGGACATCTGTGATGCTGCTGATTAAACCAAAGTCACCGATGTGCAAGGTGACCTTAATCTCTATACCTTATCTTCAGCCCTACTTTCCTTTTAAGGCTATGCAAAATAATATTATTATTCTACATAATAGCACAGCAGGAAGGGCGTCTGCCTTGCACGCAGCCAACATGGCCGACCCGAGTTCGATTCCTCCGCCCCTCTCGGAGAGCCCGGCAAGCTACCGAGAGTATTCGATATGCCAGACACAGTAACAACAAAGTCTCCAATGGAGACGTTACTGGGCCCGCTCGAGCAAATCGATGATCAACGGGAGGGCCTTTATTCTACATAATGATCTTTTTTTAAGATTTTATTATTTTATTTTATTTTTTATTGAATCACCATGAGATACAGGTGCAAACCTTTTGTGATAGGGTTTCAGTCATACAGTGTTCCAACACCCATCCCTCAGCCAGTGTACATTTCCTGCCACCAATATCCCCCGTATCCCTCCTGCCACCCTCTCCCCAGACACAATGATCTTATGCAGACTATTTTCATAGTGAAATGTAGATTACTTGATCACTTGACTTCCCGTTACTCATCGATTTGCTCGAGTGGGTGCCAGTAACGTCTCCATTTGTCTCTGTCGTGTGCTAGTGTAGCCCAATGGCATCTGTTCGTTCTAGGAACATGAAGAGCCTCAAACCGATTGTTCAGGATCTTGATGAAGAACTCTGACCATCTGGTAGGTGGGCAGCCACGCGGTCTTTTGATGTTCCTGTGGAATCCAGTTGGTAACGGTTCTAGTCCAGTGGTCGTCTCCAAATCTCATTACGTGTCCAGCCCATCTGATTTTTGATGCCTTGGCAAACAAGACAGCGTCCCTGATTCTTGATGGTTGATGGAGGTCGGAACTCCAGATTCTTTCTCTCATTTGAGTGAAACGTGATACTCCAAGCATAGCTCTTTCTATTCCTCTGTGGGAGACCCAAAACAGCGTTCTCATCCTGTTTTCGTAGGGCCCAAGTCTCTGAGGCATATGTTAATGCAGGAAAACAGTGGAATCGAAGAGATGTTCCCGGAGCCGGAGGTTCTTCATCCTCTTAGCTCTTTCTTCAATGCTCTTGAAGGTGTTCCAAGCCGCTCTCTTCCTCCTGCGCAACTCAGGTGCCAGGTCATTCATCATGTTGACTTCTCAACCTAGATACACATAACTGTTGCATTCGGAGATGGTTGTTCCATTGAGAGTGAAAGGAGTGTCAGGAACGAGGCTGTTTCTCATAAACATTGTCTTTGTGAGATTCAGCTGTAATCCGACCTTTCTACACTCTCGGTCGAAGTCAGTCAGCATTTGTGCCGCTTGGCTAATGTTTGGTGTTATTAGAAGGATATCATGAGCAAAGCGGAGGTGGTGTAGTTGCCGATCGTCTACCTTCACTCCCATTCCTTCCCATTCCAGTCGTCGCATGGTGTTCTCGAAGGTGGCACTGAAGAGTTTTGGTGAAATGGGATCACTCTGTCGAACCCCTCTCTTGACATCAACGATCACTTCTTTGTAGAATGGTGAGATCCTGGTAGTGAATTCATAATACAGCTCATGGAGGATCCTGATGCATTGAGTTTGAATGCCCTAACTGGCTAGGGCTTCAATGACTGCTTCTGTCTCAACAGAATCAAAGGCCTTCTTTAAATCAAACGTAAGACAGAGCAGCATCTTGAACTCCCGAGAAACCTCAGTGAGCATGGTTATCATGTGAATATGGTCGATGGTGCTGAATCCTTTGCGGAACCCGGCTTGCTCGCATGGTTGTCCTTCATCTAGTGTTCTGCCAATCCTATTTAGGATGACTTGAGTGAACAACTTGTAGATGACAGACAGTAGGCAGATCGGGCGATAGTTGCCAATGTCATGGATGTCTCCCTTCTTGAACAGTAGTACAGTCCTGCTGGTTTTCCATTGGGACGGAACCTTGCATTCAGACGGTAGCATGTGAAGAGCTGAGTCAGCATATTGGTGAGTACTGACGGCAGGTTCTTCAGGTGTTCAGGTCTGACCTTGTCTGGGCCGGGTGCTGTTCATTTCTTTACCAACGAAATGGCATGTCAGATTTCAGAAGGGACAACATTGGGAATGATATATCCATCCTGCAAAATTTCGTATGTTGGCAGGTGGACATGGCTATCAATGAGATCTGAGTAGAAGTCATGGATAATCTTTTCCATTGCCCTTCTGGAAGATGTGAGAGATCCATCAGGATGTCGGAGGGCAGTGATCTTGGTCTTGTAGTTGTGAAGGACAGGCAGGCATTACGAATACTTTTCCCGGCTTCTGCCACATCTACCAGCATTTCTGCTATTCTCTCTTTGAGGTCTTCCTTTATTGCATTTCTGCACTGCTTTGTGAGCTCGGACATTCGCTTGTGGTTGCCTGAGGCATGCGCCAAACCTT